AGCTGTATATTCAAACATTTGAATACTACCCTGCAAATTATAGAAGAATGGACTACAGATACATGTAAGAGAATGGGTGCATCTTGAATATATGGCTCCACTTATATTATGTTCAACAGCAGATCCCATTAATCTGTGGTCACAGAAATCAGAAGAGTGTTCACCTATGGCAAACAGACTGGAAGAGACATGAGAGTACTCTCTGGGGTAATGGAAATGTTCTATATCTTGACAAAGATGCTGATTACATGGGTATATATGTTTGTCAAAACTCAGAAACATCTGTGCATTTCACTATATGTAAATTTTACCTCAATTAAAAAAACAAAAATATGAAGAACAAAAATTAAAAGAAAAATACAAGAGAGTCTTCAAGGATAACTGTTCAAGTTCGGTGTTGGGTATATGGGGGTTCATCATTCTATTCTGTCTACTTTTGTATTTTGAATTTTCCATAATAAAAAGTTTTTTAAAAGCAAAGGCAATAATAATGTATTAATACATTTAAGTTAATGTATTGTACAATGTATTATTAATACACAATATTTTGTATATTTGAAATTTACTAAGGGAGTAGATCTCAAGTGTTCTCAACACACACACGGTAACTGCAGGAGGTGATGGGTATGTTACTTAGTTTCACTGTGGTAATCATTTCACACTGTATACACATATCAAAAAAACATGTTGCATACCTTAAAAATATGATTTTTATGTGTGAAAAATAAAGATCAAAAATAAAAATTTTAAATATCACAGTAAAAAAAAATATTCATTTAACCTCTTCCTTATGGTATTTGGATACAAACCTACAAAACTCATTGCCAAACAAAATACAAAGTTATTAAGATAGTAATTTTTTAAAAGGGGAATGAGGCCTGCTCAGAAAAAATACTTCAAGATTCCAAAGTTCTTATACCATAAACCATGACTTCAATAATTTTAGCCAGGGAGATTTTTTTGAGTGATGATTATTTATTCCTCTTGGAACCAGTTAAATCCATATTATTAAATTAGCCTTATCTTTCAGGCTGGCTTATGGACTAAGTCAGGAAGATATTTAAAGCAGGTGTATCAAGAACCTCTCTTCAGTCCAAAGTGCGTGTCTGTCCGAGTTCGTTGGAGCCCCATGCATAGATGACTCAGAGCTACCACGTGGGCGTTCTCTGGTCAGTGCTCCGCTGCCAGTATCCGTACCTCTGGGGCTGAGGCTTTCTCTACAGAAGGCCGCTGCTCTGCCACGTGTGTAGGGACAACAAGTACCCCCTCATCTAAGCAACTCTGAACCAATACTTTTTGGGAGTTGATGTTCAAATGCTTAGGCCTCTCAACACTTGAGCAGGATGATTCCTTGTGTTTTACACAGGATTAAGCTCTCAGTGCCTACTATGGTGGCTGGTGGAGGAGTTTAGAGCATGCCACCCCAAAATATGCCAGTCTGGCATATTAATTATTTTGAGTTAAAGGCGCTGAAAACTGGCAGATGCAAGAAGGCACTTTGACCTTCCCTTCCTAAAAGCACAAAATAAAATTCCCATGTGAAAGGTGTCTTCCCTGTACCAGGAGGAAGGAAGACATTCTTATCACCAGAGATAGAGAGTAGAGGCCAAGGGAGATCTTAACAAACCAACCTCGTTAAACAACCCTTACATTCCTAGTCACTGTTTCACAATTAACTGCCCTAAGCCAAACCCCTTTGTCTTACCACATTTTCACAACTACTACTCTTTGTCCAACCTAGTGTATAGGTGTTTGGCTTTAACTGCTTCTTTGGGTCTTCATTTTTCTGATAAGGCTTCCTTTGCATAGGTAAAAATTACTAAGTAAAATTTGTATACTTTTCTCCTGTTGATCTGTCTTAATTCTCCTGCTGATCTGTTAGTTAATTCTTGGGCCCAGCTAGAGACCCTAAGAGTGCAGAGGAAAAATTGTACCTCCCCTACACTGGCTTAGTAACATACTCTAATCTGTCTCTACATTCCTCTATCCTGTCACCACTTCACACCAGTGTTCTCTGTTCCTCCCAAAAAACTACCCCGTGCTCGGGCGGGGGGCGGGGGGGGGGGTGGAGAACATCTAAGAAAAAGGGTGCAAAGAATGTTGTAGAGCTATCTTAATAAGCACAAAGCCTATGGGCCTTAAGGACACAACCAGTGATTGGGATACTAAAGAAAACTTAGTAAGTCTCTGCCTCCATCTTCTCTCTCTATATCTGCTTCGTCTTTCTTCCTTTTTCTGTTTCCCAGTCTGCATGGCTACTTCCCAGCACCTCGCAAGATTACACAGCATTGTGCAATAGCCCAGAGAGAAAAAGAGACTGATTTTTTTTTCCCATTTCCCCTGATGTCTCTCACTTTCTCTCCTTCTCCCCCACCAGCCTCTTCCAAAATTCCCAGGATAAGAACTGTTCTGCTTGCATCAGGTACCTACACCAGCACTAATCAACTGTAGAGATAAGGCCATGTCACAAGGAAGGAAAATGGCAGTATGTTCAATCTAACAGAATGGGGGAAAGGGACATCCCAGAAAATGGGTCCCATCCACATAGCTGCTACCAGGTAGGTATTGGCACACAACTCAACAGAATCAACCATATGAGTCATGGATGTGGCTGAGAAACTGTTGAAAACACTCGACCTTCTCCACAGCAACACGGACATACTCATAAATATCAAACTATGTGCAAATTTCAGGGCATTCATGAAACCCCTATAATTCATTCTTAGAGCCTAATCTTAAAACTCTCTATATATGCACTGGATTTTTCAAATGTTTCAGATTTTTCAAATACTGGTATAAAATTTTTCAAAATCTTAAATATTGAGAATGAAATTATATTCGAAGGTTTTTCAACTACAACAAATGCACATATGAAATGTTAAGTCTTTCAAGAAGTAGAAGTCTATACATAATAGCCTGGACTAGGTGGAAGGGGCTAACAATCAAATATCAACTGGTGTCTATTGTCATCAAATAGAGATAAGGGAGTCCCTCACTTTTTTTTTTTTTTCTAACCACACTTAGACTACTTTCCCATTGTATATGCCCAACATGATCAGAAACCTGGGGGATATGTACCTAGCCCCTCAGCCATTCAAATCATAACATATGAAATTACCTCATAAAGAGATAAATAAAGTGAATCAAATAATGAGTAAGGTCTAGTCCACTGCTCCTGACGATGGCCTAGAAAGAAAAAAATCTATACACGGCTCAGTCAAAAGTTTCTATTCAAAGTACAGCTATTACTGTATATAATTTTACCCAAAACAGACAAAACCAAACATATACAACAGACGAAAGCTATGGAAATAAAACCAGCAGTAAATGCTTAAAATCTATTATGCAACACGTGAGATATAAATTAAAAATTAGATGCAAGCAGTCAGAAAACCTATACCCTTCACTGGTTATTAGGAAGCAGTCAATGATATTAGTAGCACATCCTTAACCTCTAAGAGTATATAATGGAAGGAAATGACCACATTCTACCACAAAATGCTCTTATATTACAGGAAAAAACAGAATAAAAGAACAATGGTTTAACAGAAGTGTATATTTCTCATATGCTCTTTAAGTATATATAAAGGGGCTTCTGAATACAGTATTATATCCATGTATCTTGATTTTACAATAGATCTTATAGAAGTTTCATATATGAAAATATGAAAACCCAAAGTATTATCTTTACCGATACATTTCCTAGCCAATCTCCAAAAGAGAATCTAATTTCCTGAGTATCTGAATATATAAACCTGATGAAAGCTAGAATGATAAAACATCACTGAGCCTGATTTCATACAATAAACTCTAAAAGAAAGATAAGATTCCTACACCATATTGAAATTTTTGTATTAACTATCGTTGGAAAATGTAGGACAGTAATTATATAGGGCTAAAGAATTTTTTAACCAGACTGTACTATTTTTGTAAACAATACTGAACCTATATTATTAAGGCCAGCACACAAAGTTTAAAAATTAATGGGTTACTGTGTTTCACTTAGAAATGTGTGTACTTAAAAGACTTTAGAGAAAGTCTTTTTTATATCACAAAGAAATATTATAGACTTTTTCATTCATGGGTTAAGCATGAGTAGTTTTTATCATTCTCATGTGACCCTGAAGTTCCACGGCAGGTAGTAGTTTGTAATTTTGGTTGAGTCACACATTTCACCTGGATACACTAAGACACTGGTTGGTGTTCATGAGTTACTAAGTAGAAATAATCTTCGACAATGTGACATCTGCATTTTTCTCTGCTCATTCTTGAATGCAAAGTAACTTTCATATAATATTTAAGGCACAAGTTTTTTTATTTTTTTAACATACTTCACTTTTTTTTAAATATGGGAAATGACATATGACAGAATTTGCAAACGTGTGGATTCACAAAGGAAGGCCCCTTTATGCCCCTTGTAAGAAAGTCAGGGGGTTTAATGGTAGCTCAAGAGAATGCAGAATGTCAGTACTATACATATGTATATCACATTCCAGAAGGATGTTCAGTAGGCAGAACTGACAATTAGTTCTAGGATTCAAACTTAAATTCTACTATGAAATTCTAGTAAGATTAAATCAAAATTACTGTACATCATTTACCTCACTAGAGAATGACAGAAAACACTGTATTTCCTTTTTGGGTACTAAAATGATTACATCATGCGAAGTTCATCTGAATTCTCTTATGTAAAATGTCCAGAACTGAATTACCTTTTTGTACAAATATTTCACCAGAGGACTGACTTGAAGGGGCACTGATCACAATGCATAATTGTAGTAACTGTAGCTAAAAACATAAATGCCACCTTTTTATGTCCATATCAGGTAAAAGACCCTTAGACACATTTCACCCACATTCTTTAGTTTCATCTTCAAACAAATGGACCATCCCATATCACAAATATACCCAAAGCTCACTGCCTAGACACACAGCGAGAAACAGAAATAAAAACAGATTTGTAAATAGACACACTATTGTGTGCTACAGACTATGATTACCTGGAGGTAGGAATTGCAGTTGGTTATTAGCTAATCGAAGATGACGTAAAGCTCTCAGACGACCAATTTCTGGGCAAACAATTTCTAAGGCATTGTCACTAAGATCCAAACACTGGAGTTTTACAAGGGATCCAATGGCTTCAAAGAGAAAACAAAAGTAAAGGCAAAATTAATGTGACCCAAGTGTTATGCCAAATCTTTAACGCAAGTACCGCTAATTATAATATCTTAATACCCCTGCTTCTGTTGCACAAATAGTAAAAACATAGATCAAAGTAAATTTTATAGGAGTGATAAGACTTCAACCTTGATATAAAATATGGTAAGTTAAAAAGCACAAATAAAAATGTTACACTGTAAAGCACTGCTTGAATAAATAAATGATTAAACGATATATAAGGTCTTTTTGTCTAACCAAAATTCTTAGCTGGATTTATTAAATTTAAAACTTAAAAGAGCGCCTGCGTGGCTCAGTCAGTTGAGTGACCGACTCTTGATTTTGGCTCAGGTCATGATCTTGGGGTTGTGGGACTGAGCCCCGTGTTGGGCTGCACACTTGGAAGGGAGTCAGCTTGAGATTCTCTCTCTCCTTCTCCCTCTGTCCCTCCCCTACACACATGCTTGTGCTCTTCTCTCTCTCTCTCTAAAATAAATAAATAAATCTTTAAAAAAAATAAAAATTTTGGGGTGCCTGGCTAGCTCAGTCAGTGGAGTATATGACTCTTGATCTCGGGGTTGTGAGTTCGAGCCTGTGTTGGGTGTACAAAATACTTAAAAAATAATAAAAACAGATTAAAAAATAAACATTTTTTAAATTTATCATTTTATTATTTACCTAACAACAATCTATCCAATAATAATTTACCTAACCATTATAACCATTTTAGACTTATTGTTTATTTAATCAAAATTGTTAACTGAACTTACTAATCTTTGAAACTAATAAAGATGCTTTATAAGTAAAGTTCCCTAATACTCCTAATCAAAATTTGTTCTACTATTACAAAGGAAAGCATAAACTATGGTACCTCCTAACTAAAAATTGGAAGTGGACTTACCTTCTGGAACCACAACTATGTTATTTGAGTGAAGGTACCTGAGGGGAAAGAAGAAAAAAAAAAACTTGCTATCATCCAGTACTTTTGCTAGATAACCAATCTGTAAAATGCTCACTTAGAAATTTATCAAATATAAAGGGACCAAAGCTTTCTATCATACCCTACTCTAAGTGCATGACACAAAACCTGTGGTCATCACCAATAACTAATAGCTCGAGAATGATATTTTATGCTGGAATTGCAAATATTAAACCTATTTACTGATGTAAGTTGTTATTTTAAAATAAAAGTATGCACAATAGATATATTTTGAGGGTTTTTTTTAAACTTAAAAAACAAATTACTAGTTTTCCTAGTTCATTTTAAAGTGTTCAGGTTTTCAGAAAAACGCGTATTGCGTAAAGAAAATCAACACTTATTATGTAAATGAAAATGCAACTTTCAATTTCTAAAGAATAATTTCACAAAATAAATCAAAGCTATTTTCAGCTAATATGCTGACTGAGAACCAAGAATGGAGAGATTAAACACTGATCATTTACAGTATCTGTAAAAATACTCAACTGTCAAGCTACATAATTTATTTCACAGCAAAAGGAATCTCATAAACAAGAATCAAATTCTTTTCTTAAAAAAAAAAAAAAAAGTTACCCCTGCTAACAAGTCCAGACAAGCCTCGTAAATAACACTTTTTCCCACTGAAGTATCTTTAGCACACTCTGGTGGAGACTTTATGCAATCAGCAGCAGCCAACTATTCAGAGCAGAACAGTGACAACAGGAGATATTCACATAATAATTTTAATTTATATCACTGATTTTGAGACAAGAGACCTAGATTTTTTTATATTTTCAAATCTATCATTGTATTTGTTATACGTCATAAATCAATCTTCATAAAGTATTTTTAAAAGAATTTTGTTTTTTTTCTACATTTTCTACATTTTTAAGCCTAACATCAAATGTTCAAATGTCACTGACACAAAATAAGAAAGACACAAAAGTAATGCATTAAATAGATTTTGTGTAGGTATTAACCTGCTGGGTCTACAAAATGTAAACAATTATTCCATTCTATCATATATTTTATTCCTTGCTTTGTGTATATAAAATGATTTCACATTTTAAAATCAATATTCTTTAAGCATTAATTTTAGGAAGGAATACCTAACTGCTTTATAAATGACCCTAAAATTTCTTTGGTGCCAAAAGACCATATGTAAATAAATGTGCGAGCACACACGCATACGTATACACACATCTGCATTTGTTACACAAAAGCCAGGGTGCCTGGACACCAAAATAAAGAGACAACTGATTTTTCAGTTACCCACAAAATATTTGCCTAAACTCAAGTTTTACATATGCAAAAGGACCTTAAAATGAATGCCCAAATCAAAACATGAACTAAAGTGCTCATTGTTATGAAGGAAATTAAAAAATATATTTTAACACATTAAATTTACCTACACTAAAATCAAGATACAGTCTACAGAAAGAATAGAATATTCCCAATCTAACTACAAAACATAGGTGTGCTAGGCCATCCCTACCAAGTGAAACACCATCTCAACTCCTCAAGTTATTCTGATGTGCTAGTGATAATCATCACTGGTGGGATGGATCAGAAAACAGGCTCTGGAGCCGGAATGAGTGCACCTCAGTAGCCATGCGCCCAAGGGAAAATTACTCAACATCTCCCTTGCATAATCTATAGAAGGAGAGAATAATAACACCAACAACATCAGGATACTGTAAGGATTAAATGAATCAATAAATGTAAAGCTCTTAGAACAGAGTACCATGAATGCCATTGTTATTGTAATACTTATTATAGTTATTGTGAGTCATCTATAATCAAAGGTTTAGCAATTTTAAGTCTCTTTACTTGTTTTTTGTAATTTCAAAGTAGTTGAAATGTTGGTGTTTCAACATGACTAGTTTTCATCATGTTCTCCTACAGTGCAGGAGCTTTCATTCATTGCTGGCAGGAATGCAAAACAATACAGTCACGTTGGAAAGTAGTTTGGCAGTTTTTTTAATAAAATTAGATATAGACATTTACTTAATAGTGATATGCCAATGTCAGCTTCTTATTTTTGACAAATGTATCATGGAATTTTAAGATATTAACAACAGGACAAACTGGGTGAGAGATGTCTAGAACTCTGTACTCTCTTTACAACTTTTCTATAAATATAAAATTGTTCCAAAATAAAGAAGTTGATTTTTTTTTTTAATTAAAAGAACAGGGCTTTTATTTCCAGCCATGATGGATTAATAGGGACCAGATTTACCTGGCTGCTATAAGCAACAGGAAAATTGGATGTAATACATGAAACAATTATTTTCAGATATAAAAAACAGGCAATTAGGATGTTACCTGAGAAAGAAGAAACAAGGCAAGCCACACAATGTCCCCAGCTTTCTACCTGGAAGCAAACTGTGAACTGTGGTACATAAATGGGATCCCAAACAAAGTATGTAAGTCTCACTGACTTATAGAGACACAAGTCAGAATTCAGGGAAACTGAGGCAGCTGGAAGTTGTGGGGTAGTGGGCTGGAGTTCTGGAGGAGAGGATGCTACAGGGAAAAAAAAAAAAAAAAACCTTTAAAAATTTAAGTAAGGATACTTTGACTCATTGCTGAATTCTAAAATGTAGCCTAGGCAAAAAGTAATGGAAAACCTACCAACTGAGGGATCCACAGAGCTCACAGAGGGCTGGAGGCATTTAAGTTCTGAGCAGCAAGTGTACCAAGTCCTTGTTGATTATTTGGCACGTTCAAATCAGATCCTATAAAGGCCATGCCCTAGTTACAGGGCTAAACTACCCCTAAAAGGTTACTCTAGACCTGTCCTAATGAAATGTAAACACAAACCATGAAAGGATCAAACTAAATTGCAAATAACCTCATGCCAGAATAAAGCACAAGAAAAAGAAAGACAACAAAGTCTAGAGATCAGCAATGTAAAACTCATAAGGTCCAGCATCCAATCAAAAAGTATTAGACATACCAATAAATCATGAAAATGTGACCAGTAACCATGATTTAAAAGAGTCCAACACCAGTAGATCCAGTAGAACAGAGACAAAATCAGCAAACAAGGACATAAGAACAACTATAAAAAGTATATTCAGGCATTTAAAGCAAAATATGAACATTGCAAGAGAAGTGTTAAGGTATGAAGAAGAACCAAACAGAACTTCTATAGATCAAAAATACAATGAACAAAGTGAAAGCTTCACTAGGTGGGGTTAACAGCAAATTAGATATTGAAGACAGAGAAATATAATTTGTCCATGCTGAAGCACATAGAAGAAAAAAAGACTGAAAAGAGTGTCGGTGATTAGGTGAAAATATTAAACAATCTAACAAACATGTAAGAGTCCTGGAAACAGGGACCAGAGAAAGGAGTACAGAAATAAATATCTGAAGAAATAATGTCCAAAAATTGCTAAATTTGATGAAAACTATAAAGACAAACCCAAGAAGCTCAATGAATGTGAAGCATAAGAAAAAAAACCACAACAAGGTATATCAAAATCAAATCCCTGAAAAACAGTGTAAAAATAAAAATCTTCAAAGTAGCCTAAGGAAAAAGAATACATTACATGCAAAGGAACAAATATAAGAAAGATAGCAGATGTCGCTTCAGAAACAATACAAGCCAGAAGATAATGAACATCATAAAAGTGCTGAAAGACAAAAAAGTCATCAAGAATTCTAATTTCAGAAGACCTAAACAAAACTTCAAAACTATGAAGATGAATGTAAAACAAAAACTATTAAGACTTTCAGAGAAAAAACTAATATGAGATTTTTCTCACAGGAGAAAACCTTCAGGGCCTAAGGCTAGACAAGGAGTTTTTAGAACTGACACTAAAAACATGATACATAAAAGCAAAACATGATAAACTGGACCTCATCAAAAGGTAAAACTTTTGCTCTGCAAAGAACATAAAGAGGATGAAAAGCCAAATTACACATTGGGAGAAAATATTTGTAAACAACATATACAACAAAGAGCTGGTTTCTATAATATTTAAAAACTCTTAAAACTAAAAATAAATTCAAATAGAATATAGCAACAGACACATGTTACTGTAGAAAAGATACAGATAACCAGTAAATACTTGAAGAGATGTTCAGTATCATTAACCACTAGGGAAATATAAATGACAGCCACAATGAGAAATGAGAACAAGCACATCTTGCTGGGGGAGAATGTAAAAAGGTGCAGCCAACCTGGAAAATTACTTGGCAATTTCTTAGGAAACTACAAATCCAGAGCAAAAGTGAAAGAGTAAGGACCTCCAAAAATTCTTTTACATAAAATCAACAAGAATATTGGCAAAAATGGTAAGAAGCTTATGTACAAAACTGTGGAAATTAACCAAAGTTATACAGGGAGGGTTAATTTAAGAAAAATGACAAAATCTCAATAAACATAGTGAGCTGTCAACTTTGGGGCATTTTCATTTCCTCTAATTCTATCCCTCACTCTCCAGCTCTGCAGAAGCATGGAAAAAAAACAAGCAAAACCAAACAAACCAACAAAAAATCTAGCTCCCAATCAAAGTGAAAAGCAGCAGCCTGGCTAACACCTGAAGGGACAGAACCAGGGTAGAGCTCACTCCCAGAGAACTGTCATCATTTGACTTGTTTCATGGTTCCCTGGAAGACTGCACTTGCTATACTATTTTTAATTGGGTCTGACTAGAAACTTGCCTTTTCCCCAGTTGAAACAAATTATGGGCAATTGTTTAACTTCACAGCCACCTGAGCCAATAGATAACAGCTGGAGCAAACAAGAGACAACCAAAAACTTTAAGTGGAAAAGTTGGGTAAGATGTCAATAGGAGCTCTGAAAGCTCTGGCATATTTCTGGAAATTAGAAGGTCTCAGGCAGGTCCAGAAATGTGCAAATGCGCAGGAAAGTGTTGAAAAGACCCTAAGCAATCACCTCTGCTGAACTTGAGGCTCCTACATAAGCAAGCAAAGGCTAAGGCAAAATTGTCAAATGCCAGGCTGAGAG